AGAAAGAGCTAACGTAAAATGAAAATGAGAAAATGAATGGAGATTGAAATGAAAAATCACTCGAGGAAGGTGACTCGATGAATATAACAAGTTCAGCTTTGAATCTCTTTTTATGATGTCTTGCCATAGTGTAATCGATAGTTTCATTCGTACGCGTATTTCTATTTTCCAAAATGATAATAGACAAGCAAGAACAATACATTTTACTTCTATTACTTGAAACTTGTATAAAACTTGTATCTGTTTGTTTAAAATGATAAATGATTACAAAATATGCATCTCTTTTATGATAGATGCGAATATAATGGCCAAATGCTTGATATTACGCCTATGACTATACAGTTCTTCAAACGTATGCAATTAAATATAGATTATATTCTAAAAGAACATTGTACTTACTAATGAAAAGCGTAAGTACGAAAGTCTCGTATGTATTATATCTTTTTTGTAGAACACATAATGCACGCGGAAATTTCAATTTAAAATTAAAAACCCGCGTTTTATTATACATCCAGCTCGTAGAAGTCTAAGATACAAAATCATAAACGATGAAAAACAGACTTAAGTATCTTTTCATAATTATCTCTTGGTACTTTTATATTTTTATCACCGACACGTGTTAGGACTGTATCGTATATTTCTTTCAAATTTGCAAATCACAAGATTGCATTCTGTACTTCCCCATACCAAGGAATATTTGTATTTACAAGCTATAATTTTCTAACTTTGAACAAACAAAATATTAAATTTTTTAACGTTAATTAAAACTCGTATATTGATACAATTGTGACGATTGTGACAAGTTATGCAGGACATAAGTGGACCCCATTTATATTTGAACAGTTTTTAAAACACATAATAACTTTTTTAAAATTGAACCAAACGACTTGAAGTTTTTTGACGAGTTAGAGGGATCATCCGGATGACGTATAAACAAAATTTTAAAGAAATTGCAATTAATCGGAATCACGAAGAAATAAGTAAAGGCCACATTTTGTAACATTTTTATCTCAACTTCTAAAGAAAATTTAAAGGACACGTTTCAAAGATATATACCGGTTGTACACAAGCTGAAATTGATGAAAAAATGATGAAAATCGCAGTTTTTCACGATTTTCAGTCTAAAATCTAAAGATTCGTACATCTTTCGACACCTGTCGCATATTTTCGCATCAACCGATTTCGATAAAATGTTCAGCATGTATATAACTGGCACAAATCTTCGAAACTAATCAGGAAAAACTAATTGCAATTTTTTTTTAATTTTGTTTATACGTCATCTACTAAACAATCCTTCTAACTTGCAAAAAAAAAAAGTCGTCGTTTGGTTCGATTTTAATAAAGTTGTTCTGTTTTAAAGCGCGTACGAATATTAATAGAAACTATCGCATAATTAAAGTAGAAATGAAATTTCTTACCTGTAGCAATTGTGCGTCGATGATTTTTGTCTATTTCTGTATTTGGAACAAAACACTACGCGTGCACATTAAATACGCACCGATTTCGTTTGCGATAAAACGCGTTTACGAAGACGATTGTTTACTGGAAAAATTATAACAGGTTCGTTTCGACTCAGATGATAGAAAGAACAAAAGGCATGTGCAAACACGACGCTCCACTCGCGATTTCATGTACCTATACTCTGTGATGACAGTCGCGGGACTGTGCTACAACTAGAAGCATCTAATTCGAACCAAATGTTCGAAAAGCGCGCGGGTGGTGGGGAAATTGGAAAGAAGGGAGAAAGAAACCAGTTCTATGGGCCGCTTGACGTGATTGGTGCTCGAGTAACTTTCAGTTACTGGTTGGGCCAATCGCGTTCACCTACTTGAATTGTAGTTCCACCAGTTGATGCACGTCCTCTGCGCAAAGGCGGTAAACCATAAGCGATTCTATCGGAATTTAAATTGTATTGCTAAATCCGTTTGTTAAGAGCATAATTAAAATTAATAAAATACGCGTATATATAAGGAATATTCCATATTGAAGTAAATTATTTTAATTTGTTTTTATTTGATACACGCGTGTATACGTGTACTTTCTTAAAGCAATAGGAAATATTACAGTTCAATTCGAATATTTTAAAGTGTATGTACATTACATAGTTAACTGACAATATTCAGGACGTAGCTTAAAATTGAGGGCAGCAGGAGCGACGGTACTCAGCCAACTGACTATTTTGTTTTTACTGAAAGGAAAGAAAATAATTCATTCATTTGTGATTATAAATAATTATACTATTGCTAAATATTTACAAGACGATTTTTTATTTCTTTCTATACCCCTTACCTGTTACTTGTAATTTGCAGAAGCTCATGAGACATACAAGGATGCAAGTGTAGAAAAGGTGTACCTAATATAGGATGTATAGCTTGAGATAAATCCTTATATTTCACTTCTCCGTTACGAACGAGGGATTGTGCTTCTTCCGCGGATATTGGATTAATACCTGGGAAATCTACAAAAGTTAATTATACAAAAAAACGTCAAACACATGAAACGGTTGTATGAAAAGATGATAAGAAAACGGCGAATTCGTTTAAAAATACAAAACACTGAAAAATTATTCGCAAATTCATGCATTGCCGTAAAACATAGATTTCCTCTATTTCTCTCTCCTTCAGTCATTCTTAATCTCTTTGCTGACTTCTTAGCCTAGTTTGAGATAGGCTACAATCGAAGGAACAATCAGCATTATATCGCCTGCCGCTTTCAACAGGCTGTACATACCCGATTAAGGTCTAGTGGTGATCAGAGAACAATTGTAATAGATGTTTCGTATTTTGATGTATAGTCGTTATAAAATTAACGACATTCACAAGATATCGTTAAAAATGAATCGTAAAAATGATCTTTTTTTTCTTTGTAACGTTTTTTTAGAATTTTCCAATAGTTCGAATAAATATGGCGCGCTCACCTGATTTCCATCCATTAAAATAAAGTATCGGGACGCTGTAGCTCATGGACCATAACACATGATGTTCTGTAACTAATGGTCTCTCGATAGGACAAGTGGCCTCGAAAGGATCTTCTTTCAATACAAAGTCGAAATCATCAGCGGAGTCGTTATTTTCTGGTGTCGAATAATCATTTAAGTTACTATTACTGCATATGTATTGTCTTTCTTGGTGGACAATGTACGCCTCTCCTGGCACATCCTGCAAATCGTGTATAGATATTTGCTATTTTAAAAATCTCTATTTGTTTAGGGATCTCAAACAGTAAAAAATAACGGTCACCTTATTACCTCGAAGTTCCCATCGATCAGAGATTTCACTCGACATTTCTACGAACCTTTCAGCATTCTCGAGAAATTCATCCCACGTGATCGTACCTGGGCCATCCATTGATATTTGTCAAATCAGACAAATGTGGTACTAGTTGTTTCTATACTTGTTTGCAATGTATTATGAAGGTAAACCTTTACGTTCTAAGAATTCACAGCCCTGGTGACAAGCAACAAATTTCGTAAAAATTTATTATGTATAATTACTATGTATTCAGTTCTACATTATAGAATTATAGCTTTATACATTACACAGCACACGAATTATTTGTTACATTGTGTTCTATACAAGGTACAAGTATATGGGTATTTACTAATAAGTAACGAAAATAAATTACAAATCAAGGAGTCCTTTTAATTCCGCGAAAATAAAACGCTACTACGCCAGTAATAATATTAATTCTGTTGCGATTTACAGATTTTTATATAAAAATCTTGCTTTAATGTTTTAAGAAAAACTTTAGCAAAAAATTAATGTTAGAAATTCTTCCGCATTTTCCTCAAATTGAAGAAATTCCTTAACAATAGAAAAAGGCAACAGAGTTAAAGATAAAAAGATCTATACATTTCCTTTTAAAACTCAATATCTTACAATTGAGTTTCTTAATTGAAAGACTCGAGACTAATTTATAGTACATAGAATAAACAAAGATATTTGATCATAATAGATTCTACTGTTTTCTTATAAGTATGAACCTTTTGAAATAATTGTTCATAGTTTATAAAAATCAATGATACATTAATTCCATGATGAAGTTGAGAAAGGGGAAGCTGTACACCCGAAGGAATGGCTTGTCTCTTTTCTGTCCGACCCCTCGACGCTCAGTCAATTGTCGGCTATTTTGCATCGGCAATGTTCGCTAGTATTCGGTCATGTTCGGTTATCCCCGCTATTGGATACCTGCGCCGAGAGCTTGTATAATGTACGTGTGCGGTGTATACACAGATATACCCACCATGGAACAGTTAGCATCCAATAGCAGGTAAAGTGCAACCAGGAATGTAGCAATAATAGGTGCAATTGCACATAAGTATCTATTTTTCTATTACTAATTTTTACAACGCGTCCCCGATAAATATCTTACAAATAATATATCTAGTCTTTTATAAAATGTTATTCTGTATTTTTCTTACATTAATAAAAAAAATGAGTTCTTCAAACTTTTAAGATAGAAGTACATAAAAAATTTTAGTTTTATATACATTAATAAAATGAACGAAAAAGATGGTAGATGAAAACATCATAGGATAGTTACAGCAAAATTTAGACTATTCAATTTGGAATTTATTAAAATGAGAAAATATCAACTTTACAACTATCGATGGATATACAGTAAAATTTCTATTAAAGAAATCAAAATAAAAGATTTATGAAAAGATACATAATACAAAAAAATCATTCAAATCTTCAAATATGCACCATGAGTAAATCTAAATAAATCTGAAATAAAACCTAAATAAATAATCTTTGAAAAATCTGGTAGCCCTCTGATCACTCTGGTAGCCCTAGTGTTAAAGTGAGATAATAAAGCGGAGTAATAAAATTTAACTTACGTACGGTCCTGACGTGAAAACCAATGGTTGCGCGCGCAGCTTTTATGACCTATAGACGCAAAAAGGACAGAGAAGAGACAAGAAAGAGAAAGACAGCAGTGCTTCCCGTATTCCGTATATATGTGTGCGTGTGAGAACTGCGCGTAAGCCGTGTACGAAACACATTTCCGATCTTGTGCGTGTTTATACAAAAATAAGTTCACTTATATGTTGTGATTGTGTGTGTAAAAGTGACACCGTGGTTCGTTCACTACCTGCTAGGTAGGTGTGATAGAAGAAGGAAAAAGGAAACAAAATAGAAACAAACTCCTATTGGTCGTCCTGTATGTAAGACCATCGAAGTATACGCATTGAGGATCGTAAAATCGGCGTGTCGCTAAAGTGAACTTCACTTCTGACGAGGTGAAATACGAGTGTGTATGTCTGTCTGTTTGTCTGTATCTTTAATGAGGTGAGACGGGACGAGGTGAAGCTTAGTTATAGGTGAGGTGAGGTAAGGTGAGCAGCGAGAGCGAGCCGCAGCTAAAGAGAGTGAAGAGTGAAGAGAGTGAAGTGACCGAGCGCTACTTGGGCATCGCAGTGAGAGGACGCACCGTCGTTTATGTTGAATTTGTAAGACGCAACTTATGTACCACGTAGGTTTTTTTTGATAATCAGTGAAGGAAAAAAGTTAAAGGAAAGGAAACAAAAGGGAAGAAAAAAGGCAAAGTGAGCTGCATTATAGGGGGGAGAAAGAATATAGTGGGAAGTCTACGAACGATGACGACGCGCGTTCGTTCCGCGGTCATGCGTCCACAATTGGCCGAGCCATGATGCGAAGTACTCTATCTAGTATAGGCTGCTGGCCGCGGCAGTGGTACGACGTGTTCGTAACGTGTGTGTGACCCGATAGAAAATACAATAATTCTCTGTTTCTGATAGTTACGTTTCTTCCATTGAAACAAGTGTGTTAAAAAGTAGAAACATATACCTTCGAAAATCTAAGAACCACGAGTATAGGTATAGTAATTAGAAGCATATATTAAGTTGTACTTTCTGCCAGTTCGTGCGGGACTTGCCACGGTGTCGGACATTGCTATCTGTGGAACGAAAACGGTGGTTCTGTTTACATTGGAAAAATTGACAGTCTTCGAGGATGTACTCGAAGGGGAAGGGGACTACGGTACCCTCAGATTCTCAAGCAAGAGAAAAGTAAGTATTATTTTTTATAATAAAATCTATCGTGCATTATGTATTTGTTGAAATAAGCGAGAAGGAGAAAAAAATTTTACCAATTGATCGACCAGTGACTCCATTTTTTTTTCTTTATACCAAGCGTGCGTATACTACGTATATGCGTGTAGTAGGTAGTAGTTGATCTGCAAACCGGGCGATCGGATTCGTCGAATAATTCCGGCTTACTTAACGCTGGAACTACCACAGTAATAAAAATCACAAATTTCTATTTTCTCATGGAAATTTTATAGATTTATTACAATAAATTTTTCTGGATTCGAATGATTTTTTTTTATAAAGTTTGTTTGTGATAAATTCTTGTTTTTCCTCTTGCATTATATGTGTATTTTTTCATATATTTTTTATTTTAACTTCTTTGATACAAGTTTTATATTATAATTATTGAAGATAATATTTATGAGCTCTGTTATAATGAATATGAGAAAATCTTGATACAAACTTAATGAATTAAAATAAAATAGTTAATACGTATTTTTGTAAAATTTCTTGTGATTTATAAGGAATCTAAAAAAATCTAGTTTTGTAATTAATTTTTTTCAATTGTAATTAATTATCGTTGTGAAATTAATCTAACAAATTTAGTTTTGAACTTTTATGAATCTTATTGTTTATCTAAAATTGTCTTCCCTGCAATGTGATTTATCGTAAATTCGACTGAAGTGTATGCTATGACTCACTAGAATTACTTGTCTGGCAAAGCAGGCCGATCGGGCGCCATGTTTTTATCGTTTGCAACTTGCAACCAAGAAACAGTTTACGAAAAAATTAGTACGATAACACCTTCCATGACACCAATCATTAAAAATGTAATTTTTTAAATACTGATAAATAATTCTAATTGTTCTTTCTTAGTTTTAAAAATATTATTCTGCGACTGTACTGCTTAATTTTTTGCATTTAGAAAAGTTTCTAATTTTTTAGTTTTGTTTGATAAGTTCGTTTATATGCTAATAAAACTATAGAAATATCACTTATTAACTGTGATTGTACATTATTTATATTGTGTTTGTATTGTGAAATATTATAAAATCTAATATGCGTAAATATTTTGCCCAGATGCTTGTATTTTGTATTACGTATTGGTATTTCAATATGAATATTTTATAAATTAAACATTTATCGTTGTGAGTATACCTCTTTGGAAACGATAAACAACATTTTTATGTTACATAAAGTATTATTATATAATATGAAAATAATTTAAAATCAAAAAAATAAATTAGTTTTATATTTATTTACAGATTATTTATAATATTTCAGGTTAGCCCTGTATGTGTACGAGTACTTATTACATGTTGGTGCACAAAAGGCGGCGCAAACATTTTTGTCAGAGGTAATGATTTCAAATTGTTTTGAAAATTTAATGAAACCTGTGAAAAAAACGATTATATATTATTGGTATAATTATATTTTATTTTGTTACATAGATACGGTGGGAAAAAAATATCACTCTTGGTGAACCGCCTGGATTTTTGCATTCTTGGTGGTGGTAAGCATTAGACATTGTTTTATTCTTCTGCTATAAAAATAACAAAATTGCATTTTATTTATAAAATATTAATTTTCTTCAGAAAACATATTCATAATTTAATATAGTTTTCCTATTTATATACATATAAAATAATCAATTAAAAATATTTCAGCGTATTTTGGGACCTATATTCAGCAGCACCAGAACGACGGGATTCCTGTGAACACAGCAATGAAGCCAAAGCTTTTCATGATTATGTTAGTATAATTTTATAATGTGAAAGTTATAATTATATATTACAAATGTATAAACAAGAGATTATTTTTGTTCTCAGGGTTTTGTGAATAGCGGTTATGGTGTTAATGGCATTGCCCATGTAAGTTGAGTTGTATTATTTTTCATACATAAGAAATATGTTTATTCAATCATAATGATCTACCCTACATGAGTATTTTGATATGATCTAAGACCATGTACTTCTAAACTAGAGTATGTAGATAACAGGGATTGTTACTAAAGTTTGCATGTACATCTAACTGGCATTTAAATAAATTATTAGATGTTGAAATTTGACTGGTAGATAATTATCAAATGATTACAGAATGCTGGTCCAGCGCCTTCACCTATAGGGCAAATGCCACCCAATGATGGTATGCCTGGTGGTCCAATGCCTCCTGCTTTCTTTCCAGTAAGTTTTTTTACATCTTTATACTGATAACAATATTATTTCACTTAATTTCATTGTGTGAATCAAAAAATGTGAAGAGTATTTGAATTATCTATGTCTGTTTATGTATTTTGTTAATGAATAATTACATTTATGTTCTGTTGTTTAAATATGAGTAACAAGATTAGATAAATATTTATTTTTTATAGAAAACATTATTATTTATTAACGATAGTTTCTTATTTCAAAGCAATCAACTATGAATTTTGAAATTCTCCTACTATAGCCTATAGTATAGTATAATTAATATTGTGAAATATGCCTTTTATGTCTATATGTGCACATATACATACATCATGTGTATATTGTGTTTCAAGAAAGGGAGGGCAAGAAAATAAAAAAATAGTTTTACTGCATATGATTATACATAATATAATATTGTAATCTAAGATATATTATTAAAAATTTTTAAACTTAATTCTTCTAAAAGGAATAAAAACATTATAATCTTTACAATCTTTATTATAGGGAAATCAGACATATTAACTGTATATAAACACATATCACAATATTTATATGTATATACATACATAAATATGTATAAATATCTGTTATCATTGTTATGCCTAGTTACAATTCTCATGCATTATAATTCTACACTTGATTCAAAGCTCTTAACATTTTATTAAATACATCAAGTATAATAAACGTTAGTAAATAAAATTTCTTCTAACTGTAGATTGTTATTAATCAAGTACAGATTGTTAATAAATTTACATTACATATTATTAAATACACCTTATAATAATATATATATATTTCTTGACATTGATTTTTCGGGATAAACAATAATGTTTCAATTTTACATAATACATAATCTAATTATCTATGATACTTATCTATGATACTGTCATTATCTATGATACTGTCATAATAAATAGCTATATTTTATGGAAAACAATTCTATAAATATGATAGTAATTTGTATACTTTAGTATATGATAGTAATTTGTATATGATAGTAATTTGTATAAAAGATCTGTTATATTATACTTATTTCATGTATAATCAGACCCAAGTGTTACTAATTAGTACTAATGTTTCTTACACATAATAACACAATCCTGTACAATGTTATTCATCTGATTACTGTCAATGTACACAGTGCCCTTGAAACATATATTTTGTTTTGAAACAAGTGTACATTTGGATAAGATTCTCATGCCATGCTTGTCTATACTGTATCTATGTACTTATTTTCTCTCTGCTATGTATCTAACACTTGTATGTGCGTTCCTTTACCATTTTCACTTTTTGATCTCCTCTCTGCATAAAGCAGATTTCAGAAACTTACCAGGAAAAATTTTGTATAGATGTTAGAGAATAGTTTTAGTTTGAATAATTTTATATTGTAGGTCTATAATTGACAGTGTTCTACCTTGTGCTGACTTTAGTTCTGTGCAAGAACTTCACAGTTGTTTTGCAATAATAAAGTATTGAATATATTTATTGAACTACATTGACAAAATATATTTGTTCCTTCATTCAAGTTATTACTTATAATACTTCTGATCTACCTTGATATCTTAGTATAACGATTTTCAGTCTGAGTTCTGAAAATGAAAGCATATATTTACTCCTAGAATAATATTTTAAGACGGATTTATCTTTCTACAATTCTTAATATATAACAAACTATAAAGATTAAAAATGTCAGCTAAGGTCACACTTTTTAGGATTTCTAATATATTTAATATAAAAGCCTGCATAGATAGTAGTCTAGCATTCAGTACAAGCGGTCTACGAATTTAGCGAAAATAATATATGACCATCCTTTACATCATGGAAAAGATCAAATTTATATCTATATATGAAATACACATATTTTATGTAGTATAAGTTAAGTATACCCTTAGAAACTATAAACATTATATTCTGTATAAATGGATAGTTTAATGATTCTATGAGAAAAATATATTCTCGTTGACCGCTTATTATAACATCTAAATAACAATATAAGTAGGTGAAAAAAATGTCTAGTTATGCATATATTGCTTGTTCGAATATTTATTGCCTTCTAAATCATTTTAGGATAACGATGTATACGTTCAGATAGAAACAACACGATCTCACTTTGATACATCCAAATATATCCATGAAAGAAAATTATTTTATATATATATTTTTATTTATTTATTTATCTTTTTTTTTAATTATCAAAATTTTGTTTTAGTGTGAAATGGGCGGGAGGGAGGGTGTCCTCAGGCATTTAGTATCAAATTTTACTTCGTGGACAAAGTCGTAATTACGAAATAAAGTATTGATTAACGTATGTAGGCTGAAATAAGTATCGTAAATGTAATCTTTATTGGAAACAATATTTA